TTTAGATTACATTAATTCTCATGAGAATTTATTGTAGAGTGACATGATGTGTCTTTGAAAGTTTTTATCTTAAAAACATGTATTACTTTTTAATTCAGTACACAAACTATTTAAATTACTTCCATGAATTAATTGAAAATTTGTAAATTAAAATTAATTTCATTTTCTAATATAGAGCAATTCTTACAAACAAGTACCATACGAGTTGCTATTTGAGACTAAATTGTTTAAGCTAGAAATTGTGTGGGCCTAACAAGCCCATATAAAAGCCCATTTATTCCATGAACGTAGTTAAGACTGCTACTTTCTGCAGTTCTCCACTTTTCTGCCTACACCCTATAAATTATAATATCCCCATTTTATTCTTTATTAAAAAATAATTAAATATGTTTTTAGTTGTTAAATTTTTTGACAGAATTCATTAATATTCGAAACTTTAATATATTTTGATCTTCAAATTTAGTTTTAAAAATAATAGATATAGTTTCTTTTAACTTAATTATATTGTGTTAAACACATGTCAAACAGTAAAAAAAATTTAAATGTTAGAAAAAAATTTGTTTGAAACGTTAACAAAATTTAATAGGTTAAAAAATTATATTAATTTATTTTTAAAATTGAAAGAAATATTAAAGTTTCAAATAACAACAAATGTTCAAAAATTTAAAATATATTAAACTCTAAAAATATTAAAAACCCTAATTTCACATTCCCTTTCCTAGCATCACGAAATGTTCTGTATCTTCCTCTCTCTGCTTCAGTTTCTTCTTTTACATAAATTTGCTAAGATTGAAGGTGAAATCTCTCTACTCGACATTTTATGAGAGGTAAAGGATAAAAGAAAAAATGAAATTTGGAGAAAAATAACAATAGAAAGAAGTTGTTTAGGTTATTTAAAAAAGAAAAAAAATAGAAATTCTTAATTTATTGGAATTATCTTACATAATAGAAAAAAAAGTTAAACATAAAAAATAAACAGAGAAAAAATTCTTTAAAAAACTGAGAATTATTATCTCGTTTTTTGTGTTTAGAATAAAATGAAATTGTGATTTGACACTTTATGACAAATGGAATAGACGCGTCTTTTTATTATCTATAATGTGAAAGTGTTCTCGTTTGCTTGACATTGTGTTTACTTGAAGATGATCTTTTCATTACTTATCATGTGAAAGTATTCTCGTTTGCTTGACATACGAAAATTGTGTTTATTTAGAGGATGAATTTAAAGGAGATAGAATATATAAATGCGAATGCATTTGAGTAAATTAAGTGTTAATTTTTTTAAGGGATTTAGCGATGGGTGATAATAGATTTGAAAATAAAAATTAATATAAGATTTCACTTATGTAACATATATAAAAGATATTTAAATTTATAAAAAAGTAAAAATTAATAAAATGTTTTTAATAGTAAAAATAATATATAATAATATTTATTAATAATGTATTTATTGATAAAAAATATTATAAGAGAAAAAAATTAAAATTATTTTTTAAATAAAATAATTAAAATAATGTATTTTTTTTAGGATTATTACTATCATTATTAATGGAAGTATTTTTTTTATACACGAATACACCATTACACCGTACTAGTTTAGCCGGTTTGACAAATTTGTTTTTATACCACTTTAAAACATTTCTTATTAAGAAAAATATCTTATATAGGGATTATAATTCTCCATGCGTGTGTGTAAATAAATCGATGGAAGAATTGTTACTTGATTTAGGTTAAAGAAAAGAGATAACGAGAACGGTGTCAATATATGTAAGTATTTGATAATAAAAGTTAATTAATTAATAAAATATATATTAAATATTATGAATAATTACTTGGGTATTGAATTTTGATTATTAATCTTTTGAGTTAATAATTAACAATAGTATTCATTCAATTAAAAAATTTATAATAATGAACATATTTTTTAATTTGAGTATTGAATTTTGATTACTAATCTTTTGAGTTAATAATTAACCATAATATTCAATTAACAAATTTATAATAATGAACATATTTTTTAATTTGAGTATTGAATTTTGATTATTAATCTTTTGAGTTAATAATCAACCATAATATTCAATTATCAAATTTATAATAATTAATATATTTTTTAATTTGGGTATTGAATTGTTTATTATTAATTTTGATTATTAATTTTGAGTTAATAACTAACAACAATATTTAATAAACAAATATATAATAATCAACATATTTTTTAATTGGGTATTGAATTTTGATTATTAATCTTTTGAGTTAATAACTAACAACAATATTCAATTAACAAATTTATAATAATCAACATATTTTTTTAATTTGAGTGTTTAGAAATTATGTACATAAGTTTTTCAATTCCTTAGATTACATTTCAAAAAAGCTAACATTAGTTTAAGTGATGTTGATTAAGTGTTTTACAACAAAGTTTGAAGTGTAACAGTGTATCTAATTTTAAGTATCAAGTCTTGTGAGATGGAATTGCTTCAATAATGTATTATTTTTTTGATGAGCTAGTACTTAAGCATATGATAAGATATGTAGTCTTCAACGTTACATGCTACAACTCAAAGTTTATAAATGTTTATACTATTTTATCCTACATTACATGCTACAACTCAAAGTTTATAAACGTTTATACTATTTTAAGAGGATTTTATAAGAAATGTCAACATCAAATATTTTTCAAAAAGTGTGTTAAAGTTGTCATGTGTCAACAACTCCTTTGAAAAATATAGTTTTTATAGACCATTTGTCTAGTTGCTTTGACCTTTATTAAAAAATAAAATAAAAAATAAATAACATAGACTTGATAAATATGTTGAATATTAGAGATATCTTCAAAAAGAAGTTTGCATTTAATGTTTTATTAGGATAGACACAACTTAAAGAACAAAGAACATTTCAAGATTACACAATGATTTGAAATGATTTAGAATGACTACTTTTCTCAAGACCTTTATAAATAGAAAAGTTCTTAAAAGAGAAAGGCTACTTAGTTGAAAAATATTTTAAATGAATATGCTTGTCACAGTCTTGTGATAACACATCAAATTGTTCTTTAGCAATTTAAATGAGTAAATTTAACTTTTCATTCATGCAAGAACGTAAACTTTTTTTAATTAGCATTCTGATTTTTTTGATTATTTTCTTTGTAATATTGTTTTAGGTAGGAGTAATTGATGGTCTAAATAATACTCAATTTAACTAGGAGTAATTGATTATCCAAACAATACTCGACTTTGTTAGGAGTGACTGCTTGTCTAAATAATACAATTTTAAGCCACGAGTGGTTGAGTTAAAATAATACTTAGTTCATGTCTTGCTTGGCCGAATAATAAAACATGATCAAGATTAACATGTCCTAATCCTAATTTAAAAGAACTTTTCACTAAGAGTATTAGAGTTGTGTGCCTAAGGGAAATTCTGTTTGTGAAAAGGAAACTTGTGTTACTTGATGCTTATAGGAGGAAAGTGTTATTTTTAGTGTGTTTAAGTAGTGGAGTATACCTACAAAGCATAATCAAGTTGTTCATCTTTTTGTGTGTTAAAAGGAGACGTGTTTCATCTCTTATCTGTTAAGAGAGATGATTTCTAATCTAATCTTTAATTCTCTATTGTAAATTATTACTTATTTTAGTGAAAACGTTAATCCCTCTTTTAGAGAGATTAAGAACTAGATATAGGGTCTTTTGATTCGAACTAGTATAAAAATTACCTGTGTAATTTTTTTCTCCCCTTTACTCCTCTTGTTTGTTAGCCTTTATTCAAAGTAATTTTTCAGTTTCATTAAAGAAATTTTTAAAAACAAAAATCTATTAAAATGGTAGCGATTTTTAACTTGAAACAATTCACCCTTTTTTATTTTGTCCTACCCTCTAGTCATTTGCTCGCCAAACTAACCAATCCTTTTATAATGACAAGGAATAATAAAGTGGCTAAAGGATCACTTTTCCTGGTTCCTTTTGATGGATATAACTCTTTAATAAAACTTCAATTCACTAGAAGTTGATATGGATTCCATACAGGCACTTACCACAAAATCCTAAATCTCCTAAACATATAAGAATTTTTACTTGATGAAACCATGATAAGCCTTTTCAAAATCTAACTTTAATTATTACATTCTTTTTTTTTTCTTTTTTTTCTCTCATTTACCATTTCATTTTCCTCAATTACCCCATTCAACATCTTTCTAACTCAAAGGAATGCACTCAATGATTCATCTATCACTTTATATAACACATTTTTCAGCATATTTAATAAGAATTTGGCTAAACTCTTGCATAAACAACTCATAAGTGAGATATGTCTATACTCATTTAGCCCAAGGGATTATCACACTTAGCTGTTGAAGTGATAAAAGAGAAAATACATCCTTTTTTCTATGTCACTCCTTTTAAGAAAGTCTTCCATCACGATATATTTGTTCAAAATTTCTCTAATAAAATTGAAATTATAATTATTTGGTATCAAACTTTTACTTTCTTCACATTCTCTCACAATCATTCTCAATTCCTCTTCTATAAATCATGTAGGATATTGTTTTCTTCTCTCCTTGTAAACCTATTTTGAAAAAACTTGACTTCCTCATTGATCCTTGTTGCCTCCTTTACCCATTTCTCATTTATAAAGATTTTAAAACTAACACATAATCGTTCAATAGTATCATATTGATGTCATTTTTTTATGTGTTAACTTGTATTTCATTAAATGAAAATCAGTTTAGTATTGTCATCTTCAAATTTTCCAATATGATGAATGATTGCATTAAACACACACAAATTTCTAAGATTAAATGATTTTTAAACACACATTTAAAAAAGTTTACATAAAAATACACATTCCAAGCAAAATGTGAACTTTTAAAAGCAAATATGATGTTAATTAGTTTTTAATCTCATTAAAGATATTATTTCGAAAATAAATAATAATATCCAAAATATGAATTACATTTATCACAAAATTAAGAAAAAAAAAGTGAAATGTTACAATAATGCTATATTTTTAAACAAAAATTATCAATTTATCTATGAATGAATCATATTTTTACTTATAGACGTTACACTTTCCATTTTCAACATTTCTAATAAAAAATCACTCCATGTGTCTATTGGACCAGGCAAGCACCAATGGACACAATCATTATATAGTGTCATATTCTCATTTGGCCAATAGCCATATCTATTGGGGTGACCATCTGGTCTCAATAACATTGCTTGTGTGGTGTCAAGTAACATGAACTTCAATCCTTTCTTTATTCCTTCTTTCTTGGCAATTCTGAACTCATCTAATTGAATCTTATGTAACTCTAAATCATAACCCTCTAACTTTGTTTCATTACTCCTAAATGGCTTAGTTCTCATACAATTTCCACCTTTATTCCACAATCCATTTTCAAAATGAGATGGTGAAAATGTTCTAAGAAATATGGTACCCTTGAAGTTTTCTAAACTAATGATGGATTTAAATGTTGTGTTATAAACCTTTCTATAGCCATAGTACAAGTTTGAGTGAGTCATATTATCTAGGTCACAATGTTGACATCCAACAACTCTTTGTTTCTCATAGAACACAAGGGGTCCCAAAAACCATTGTCCTCCATTGATAATAACATAGTCAAAATCTTTAACGTGGGTTGTCCATGTTTCATCAAACTCATCAATGTAAACATTGAAGAGAGCACTATTTGAATCCACTTTTTTAGCCCTAACTAGATGGGGTGTCCAATAATTAGCCATGGTGAAGTTGTAATTTGAGTACTTCCATTGCTTGAAGGAAAACACATTCGTGTTGGAAACATCTATGGGCCACTCCACCTACAAAGGATGATGAAGAAGATAAGAGGATTACTCTTAAAATGTTTGGGAAAAAAATCTATTAAGAACTTATGGAAGGGAAAAAATAATAAAAGAAAATATGAATTTAAGTTAAAATTATAGTTCATATACAAGTTGTAAAAATAAAAATTTAAAACCATCACCCATCTTCTAACAAAATGATATTAACAAATTAACAATAAAGTACAAGTATGACATTTGCTTATTTTATTTTAANCATTCTCTCACAATCATTCTCAATTCCTCTTCTATAAATCATGTAGGATATTGTTTTCTTCTCTCCTTGTAAACCTATTTTGAAAAAACTTGACTTCCTCATTGATCCTTGTTGCCTCCTTTACCCATTTCTCATTTATAAAGATTTTAAAACTAACACATAATCGTTCAATAGTATCATATTGATGTCATTTTTTTATGTGTTAACTTGTATTTCATTAAATGAAAATCAGTTTAGTATTGTCATCTTCAAATTTTCCAATATGATGAATGATTGCATTAAACACACACAAATTTCTAAGATTAAATGATTTTTAAACACACATTTAAAAAAGTTTACATAAAAATACACATTCCAAGCAAAATGTGAACTTTTAAAAGCAAATATGATGTTAATTAGTTTTTAATCTCATTAAAGATATTATTTCGAAAATAAATAATAATATAAAAAATATGAATTACATTTATCACACAATTAAGAAAAAAAAGTGAAATGTTACAATAATGCTATATTTTTAAACAAAATTATCAATTTATCTATGAATGAATCATATTTTTACTTATAGACGTTACACTTTCCATTTTCAACATTTCTAATAAAAAATCACTCCATGTGTCTATTGGACCAGGCAAGCACCAATGGACACAATCATTATATAGTGTCATATTCTCATTTGGCCAATAGCCATATCTATTGGGGTGACCATCTGGTCTCAATAACATTGCTTGTGTGGTGTCAAGTAACATGAACTTCAACCCTTTCTTTATTCCTTCTTTCTTGGCAATTCTGAACTCATCTAATTGAATCTTATGTAACTCTAAATCATAACCCTCTAACTTTGTTTCATTACTCCTAAATGGCTTAGTTCTCATACAATTTCCACCTTTATTCCACAATCCATTTTCAAAATGAGATGGTGAAAATGTTCTAAGAAATATGGTACCCTTGAAGTTTTCTAAACTAATGATGGATTTAAATGTTGTGTTATAAACCTTTCTATAGCCATAGTACAAGTTTGAGTGAGTCATATTATCTAGGTCACAATGTTGACATCCAACAACTCTTTGTTTCTCATAGAACACAAGGGGTCCCAAAAACCATTGTCCTCCATTGATAATAACATAGTCAAAATCTTTAACGTGGGTTGTCCATGTTTCATCAAACTCATCAATGTAAACATTGAAGAGAGCACTACTTGAATCCACTTTTTTAGCCCTAACTAGATGGGGTGTCCAATAATTAGCCATGGTGAAGTTGTAATTTGAGTACTTCCATTGCTTGAAGGAAAACACATTCGTGTTGGAAACATCTATGGGCCACTCCACCTACAAAGGATGATGAAGAAGATAAGAGGATTACTCTTAAAATGTTTGGGAAAAAAATCTATTAAGAACTTATGGAAGGGAAAAAATAATAAAAGAAAATATGAATTTAAGTTAAAATTATAGTTCATATACAAGTTGTAAAAATAAAAATTTAAAACCATCACCCATCTTCTAACAAAATGATATTAACAAATTAACAATAAAGTACAAGTATGACATTTGCTTATTTTATTTTAAACTTGATAAAGAATATTTTAACATACAATAGCAAAAATATTTGGCAACAAGTTGTAGAAAAAACACAATTTCTTTTTCTATTAAAAAACTACAGTTAAAAGTGATTTTTGGATGAAAATATATCTCTATCCTACTCTTTTCTTCTTCTTCTTTTTTCAATTTAAAGTTAATTTAAGTTACTAACTATGTCAAAACATAAAGTATTCCAACAATTAGGGAACATTTCAATTTTAGAGGAGTTCTATCTATGTATAAGCTAATCTAACAAGTTGTAGTGAAATTATATTTTCTGAGCTCTTATCTGCAACACTATCTCTTACTTGGGGACTCTAAAAGTACATAAACAAAAATGAACATATGTATGTTTGAAGAGGTTATTTACATAAGTATATTTTTCCATAAATTACGTAAATGGAAACAAAAAATAAAAAAGTAAATTAATAAGAAATTATGACATTTCAGTTCAAAATAATAATACTAAAATTGTTACGACTCAACGATTTTACTTTTTTTTATCTTTCCTATTCTTTCCTTTTTCACAAATTTATCCCACCCATAAAAAACTATTAGAAGGAGTTTAAAGAGATAAATGACATAGAATATACTACATTAAGATGAATCAAACACCACAAAGCTTATGATTATGGAAGCAGAGTTTTAGAGTCTGAGTCTTGAAAAAGTAGGAGAAACACTAACCCTTGAAAGGAGGCAAATCATAGACTGCATATGATTTCTGGCTAAGGAGTCTCCAACAAGAGCCATAGATTTTCCCCTCATAATTTCCAGGAACTGAAAGGGGTTGAAGATGGGAAGTTCACACTCATTTGGTTTCCATCTCCACTTCATGAACTCAGAATCTGGTCTCCCATGTTTCATGCAGTTTTGGTGTTCATGAATTGCCCAACATGTTGTGTTTGTGTAGTATGGTGCTTCAGGATTTGGCACCCATTCCCCACTGAAAATGTCACACTTCTTCAGAGATGTTGAGGGCAAGCTTTCTGGCTCCTTCAAATCACCAATTGCAACCTTAAATTTATTGATCTTCAACAGTGCTGTGGTCACAGTAAATATCAGAAACATTATGCATACTACTTTACTTATGTTTGATACTGTTTGTTTTTTGGTTCTGTTCCCACATTCAAGCTCCATATGTAGGAACTTCATGGAAAAGGAGAAAAAGAAGAGGAAGGGATAAAGGAAACTAATAGGGGAATCAGCTTTTGCAAATATATTCTGTGTAAAACCATGGTTTGTTTTGTCCAAGTTGCTTCAGATTCTCTTCTTTTTAAACCTATCATTAATTAACCATAATATTTTATCATCTCATAATTTTCTGGTGGACTTGTCACATGTTTATATTCCTTTTCCTTTTCTAATAATGTGGAAAATTCAATTTACTAAACTAATATTTTTCTTACATTTTCTTATATTCAAATAAATTTAATATTCTTATATTATTTAGAGTCAAGGATAATTAATTTACATTTTTTTTCTCCAATTCCTTAAGAGATAAAATTGTAATAAAAATTGATTTGCTAACATGGATAGTACTTTAACCCTAATGATATTATATCAAAGATATTGGAGTAGAAAGAGTTAATAAATTCACCTGTGAGATGAAAGTTAGATGACTGTGAATTTGAACATTGGTATTAAAAGGAGTAATATATTATTAACCTCTAATCTTGATCATGTATAGATAAAACCACATCTAAAAACAAATGTTGGTGATATATTGCTTTCATAAAGAGTGATTTCTTTATGATAATTTATGTACGAACTGGTTGATTTGTTTGCTTCATCAAACTTTATGTAGGTACAAAATGAATGGACCATCCTAACTTTTTTTGACAGCTAAGATTGATAAATGATGTTGTAAAACGAAAGGACAAAAGGGGAATGGTGCTTTGCTGGAGTTTTCTTGTGATAAGGTCCTTCATATATGAGGAATCCCTCACCAACAAAAGCTGTCACATCGTTGTGTTTTGTCCTGTTCAACCTGCAGACACAAGATATCTCTTCAGATATGTTTTTCATGCATGTGAACTTATGATAAAGCATAACGAAATTATATATCAGCAAATAGTGAATATTTATTTCATGGTTTAACCTCATTAATTCAAATCAAATCAAAGTCTTTGCTTCATTATATATAAGTAAAATAAATATTAACACATTTTATTTTTAATATAGTAAAAAATTTACAATATAAGAATAAAAGTTTTAACTCTATTAATTTTATTTGATTTTGTAAGTGTAAAAGTTTAAAAAATCGAGTTTTAAATGGGTAGTGTGGTTTAAATAATAATATTCAAAATTATTTTAATATTAAAAGTTCAAAATGTAAATACATTTTTTTTCTTAAATCACATAATTTTTTTAATTTTTTTTTTCTTTAAACTTTTTAACAATCTCTTCATCCATTTGAAGATCAGAGACTACCAAAGTTATCCTTAAGACATTCTCTTAACTTTTATCTGATTGGTTTCTCAAATAGAGTAAATTAGTTTTTTACTCCTTTTCATTGTTTGTGCATTTTTCAGTGCATGTGAACTATTCTAGTTTACATGTGAAGTCTGAGTCTTTTATAAGAGTCTCTACTAATCATTGGTCCTAATGGTGTATCTTGATCGTGTTTCTGTTATTCATAGGAGCAAAAATGGTTTTTTGTGTGTTTAGAGCTGTTTTTAGGAGTTCTTGAGTGTTTGGTCAGTCTATCAAGTAAGAGAAGTTAATTACCTTGCTTTAGAATTTTATATGCTTTAAGAATGTTAAATTGCATGTCTGATCTGTTTGAGGTTGATGGACATCTAATATTGGTCATTGAATTGTCAAGTAATCTGAATGTGTTGCAATGGTTGTGTGTTGTTTGAAATTGTCTTAATTGGTGTTGAATTGAGAAACTTAGGATCTGACCATTTGAGCAAGTTGGTATGCACTATGAGATTGAAAACTATTTTTGAACCAAACACTAAGTAATGAATACCAATTTGATCATTTGGTTCCTGATTTCCCAAATCACAGTTTTGAGTTTTTTGTTATTTGATATGACATTAAGCGATATTGGCATGGTGTTGAGCGCATACTTGGTTGTGCAAGTTTGAAAGTACTTTTGGTCCAAACTGTTGACTGCCCCTTTCCACTGTAGAATGGCCACTTTTGCGAACGTTTGGTGTTGAGCAGTGGCAAGGCACCGCTGAGCGCTACTTTTCACTTTAGGTTTGGAACAATTTTAATTCTAGGTAATTGAGTGATAGAATTACGTCGTTGAACAAGACGTTTTGTGAGAAGAATGACGGTAAATACTAGGACTACTGTTGAGCGCCATGATTGCTACTAAGTGTCAAGATTGCCATTAAGCATCATGA